TGACCAGCAAGCACCACACATTGGCAGAAAACCAAAACATTGCAGTAAATGTGGGAAGGATACTCATAATGCCAGAACTTGTCCAGAGTTATCAGAGGAGGATACTGAAGAGGATGTTGATACAACCGACATCCCTGATCCACCAACTGTAATATTAGAAGTTCATTGTGCATGTCTAGAATACTTTTGGGAAACAATTATTTTCGTTGGAACTAAACTTTATATATTCAATGTTGTAGAAGAAGCCATGTACTAGAAGGGAAGGCCTGAGGAGCAGCAAGAAGGCTAGTTGAAAAGATTGGCATGGATTCTAATAACCGGAGACACATTTCGAATCTGGCCATTTGTTGGATACTCTATGGACGAGTTAGGTTCTTTGATTGGAGGACGTTATGATGTTTGGTTGGGTATTTTCATACTTTCTGGTCCTGGTTGTTCATGTTTTAGGCTGGGATGCTAGTTTGGTTGCCTTCTGGCCCAATGGTTGCTGCTCTTGGCCCTCAAATGTACACAATATGTAGAGCTCGTTAATCAACTTGGACAAATAGGTTTTTGTTGGTTAAGTGGCAAGCAAGTTGTTTGCGTGATTCATATTAATAAGCGTACACAATTGAACAAAGAATGTTGATTGTAGTCCAGCGGATGGAAGTTTGCACTGCCAATTTATGTCTTGGGTTCGACACCCTTCAGAAGTATTTCAGTTTTGGTTTTAAGTTATTACTATTGGGAATAAGCCCGCGCTTCGCTGCAGGATGATTCATATTAATAAGCGTACACAATTGAACAAAGAATGTTGATTGCAGTCCAGCGGATGGCAGTTTGGAAGCCTAATTTTTGGCTTGGGTTCGAAACCCATCAGCAGCATTTCATTTTTGGTTTTAAGTTATTCCCCTTGCAACTTATTTCATTAAGGACATCTGCATATCAATATTGTCCAACACTGAATATAGGTACTTCCCTAAAAAAAAACACTGAATATAGGTACATATGCAAAAGTATTTCCCAAAATGTGTCCTAAGCATTCACAATAGATTCACAGTTTGACCGAACTACCTGATTAAGCCAGGTGGTAGTTGTTACATGACAAAAGGCTAGACCAAAAGTGTTGTCAATTATGTCAGGGCTTAGGTAGAAACAGCAAAAGGCGGTCAATCAGTAGCAGTTTTCCTGATTCAAAATGTAGCTGGTAGAAGTTGATGTTCAATCGTCGAAAGCACAAGGATCCCAAAGTGTGGCAACCCTGATGTGCGGCACGGTGCTCTGACCTGGGTTTGGCCATGCAATGTACAGTTCTGCTGCGAAGGTCTTCTTGCAGTTTTTCTTGATGATGTCTTTTATTTCATCTTCGTTCAGTTTGAGATACTTTGCCGGCATCATGCAGAGTATTGACAGAGCTGCCTCGTGGTTGAGTACAACATCGGCCTCGGATGATTCAGATTTGCACCTTGCCTCGATTTGGTAATGTAGTCTGGTCATAATAGAAGCTCGTTAGCTTTGTTGAGAATAATGCAAGCGTTCCTTGCCAAAAGTGCAAACCGGTGAATTTAAATATTTAATCTCACCTTGGCGTTTCCCGAGTGGTTCTGCAAGCATCTATTTTGCATAGGACATGAGTGAACTTGATTATGGTTCGGTAGAGGGTCTGAAATATAAAAATTGTTTTTGCCAGGTTAGAGTGCACGGCAATAGCAAGTGAAACATATTTGAATGTTGGGATTTTTCAAAGCATCATAATATACCTCACGATGTTGTGGTATTGAACTCAAGTCTTCTTTTATCTGAGCAAGTGTTCTTCTTGGGGGGCGAGGGTAGCGTAAGTATCCCATCCTTTCAGCTGTTCCATAGATTATGTACTTGATCGGTTTGCGGCATGGCAGAAACCTGAGTTTTGTAAATAGATGTCTATGTTAGGCTAAGTTGTTGCAATGAAAGCATATTTGAAGTGAACAAATTGTCTTAGAGATTGTTAGGAAATCAATACCTGTTCATGACTCTTTCAGTGGTCTCATTGTATGAACTGATAATCAGACGACTGGCTTGTGTCGATTCCAGCTCATATATACCATCATCGTTGCATGCATCGGGCAAGGAGACTACCGATGTAACTGTGGTTATCAGCGGGAGGTGCGACTCTACATCTGCTGCTTGTTGGAGGTAACCAGCGACATCGTAGCCACAGTACTTCACAACAGCCTTGTTCCCACTGTTTTGCAAATGCAAACAAAATATAAATTATTCGCTGTCGAAAGTTTTAACGATCTAAGGTACATAGTTTAGTATACCTGTAGTCTTCAATAACCAGATGGAAATCAAGCATGCCATCTTGGAGGGCATTTGGTAATGTGATTCGCCGTACGCAACCTGTGACATCTGTAATTGCATAGATGTTATGGGATTTTTAGTGTGTGTTGGTCATGAAAGTGATGTACATTGCTTTACCTGCGTGGCAGTGGAAACTTTCAAACTTTGCAGGGACCATTGAGAAATGAGAGTTCATGAATGAGTCGAGGGGAAACTTAGGATTGTTCTGGTCTTCTTCGATGTTGTCAATCAGTTGCTCAGAGTTCACGAGCAGCCGCAGTTCTCCTGGGACAATGCGTTTGTTCTTACTCGAGGGGATTGTAACTATAATGCTTAGGCGATACAGACGACCAACTTTGATCCTCGCCATCACGTCATCAATGTCCTTTTCATATGCCAGAGCTTCAATAACTCGTTTCTGCGGGATTAGCAGGTGTAAAAGAATGTTATAGATAAGCAGCTGGTGTTTTTTTCCTGGGAAATCGTAAACAAACCTTTTTGTCCATCCAGAGCATGCGCAATGCTGGCGTTTTCCAAACCTCTCCGTCAATGACTTCTGTCCACGTTTTTAGAAGCCGAGCTATCACAGTACGGTTGTTGGTTCCCAACCGCAAACCTCGAAACGTCATCGAAGCACAAATGGGGTCTACAATAGAGACAAGAAACACACTAAGTGGAGTCACCATTTATTGTAAGGTTTTGCGAATCAATCGAATCCAGTACAAATTTAGACCTACAGAAACAAAAACATCGAACCTTGGGGATCGGTGGGGTCCTCGTAATCCCGCGAGGCGACTGGGTTGTCTCGGAGGAAAACTGCCATAGATCGTTGGTCCGCTGCGATCGTAGTAATCTTTATTAGAGGAATATGATGTTTTCTACTGAGTGGCGTGCTTAGGACCAGATAGTGACATACCTTGGCGCTAGGATTTTCACCGTGGTCGAAAGGGGCAGTTTTTACCGCCGATGCCAGCGAAGATCTGGAACGAGGTCTATGTTGTCGAGGGAGGCAAGAGCAGGGCTTAAGTAAATTGAATGCGGCCTAAAAAAGACAGGCCGGAAGGCTGATTTGGGCCTTCTGGCCCAATGGTTGCTGCTTTTGGCCACAAATGTACATACCTGTTATTCAAAGGTTTCATCTTCGGTTTAAACCAACAGGCAATCTCCAAATACGACTGCCTATACGAAACATCTAAATACACAATCCAATGACAAAAATTTCGGCTTGGCTAATTTCTTTGGAGTGACATGATAATACACCATCTACTTGTCAATTTTCCGGTTTATTAATTTCTGTTTACTTTTCAATTGACATCGATAGCCAAAAGTAACCGGCAAACCTTCACGTACCTACTAATGTACTACGCGAAGGACATACTTACAAGCAAAACCCCTAAACCCTAGACCCTAAAACCCTAAAACCCTAAACCCTAGACCCTAAACCTTGAACCCTGAACCATAGACCCTGAAACCTTAAACCCTAAACCCTAAAACCCTAAACCCTGAACCATGAACCCTAGACCCTAAACCCTGAACCCTGAACCCTGAACCCTAAACCTTAAACCCTAAACCCTAGACCCTAGACCCTAAACCCTAAACCCTAAACCCTAAACCCTGAACCCTCAACCCTAGACCCTGAACCCTCAACCCTAAACCCTAAACCCTAGACCCTGAACCCTGGACCCTGAACTCTAAACCCTAAACTCTGAACCCTAAACCCTAATAAAATCATGTTTGCCTTTTTACCTCTAGAGTGAACTTCTTGTTGTTATCCAACTCCACCAAGCAAACGACCCCTTAGTAATGACTAATTAGGATGAAATGAGTTGTTTGCTAGCTCGAGCCAAAATTTTGATCGAAATTATGAGGCCAAACTCAATAAATGAGTTGTGTCGTGTTCGGATCGTATTAGCTCGTTCATAAAAGAGCCGAGAATGAGTTCGGCTTGGCTCATTAAAATGGACCATGTTTCTTTGGAGTGACATGATAATACACCATCAACTTGTCAATTTTCCGGTTTATTAATTTTTGTTTACTTTTCACTTGACTTCTATAGCCAAAAGTAACCGGCAAACCTTCAATTTTCACTTGACTTCAATTTTCCTGGTCTAGGTCTCTGAGTGGAGTTGCGGGTGACGATGGTATTCCAGGCTTTTCCCGGCGGCAGCGGCGGCATGGCAAGGTTGCAATGGCAGTTAGGGTTTTGATTTGTATACTTTGGGCTCTCTGTGTTATGTGTGGCACTTGGGCTTTTCGGGTGGGCTTTTGAATTGCTTATCTGTATTGTAACAATTTGTAAGAGCCGGACCGGACCGGTGAACCGGACCGGGAAAACCGCCAACCGCCAACAAAAGCGGTCCGGTCTCTGTACTTAAGCGGCCTTTGCTGGGCCGAACGCTTTTTAGCGATCCCATAGTGAAACCGCAGAACCGGGACGGCCCTATTGGTCCAACGGTCTGCTACTAATAAAAGAAAATCATAGTACTACTATTATTGAAGCCAACGCCGACCTACACAAACAAGCAACCCTAATAAAGTTAGCTCTAATGCTGCAGTTGCTTTCCTGACTCCTACTGCTCTTCAACTTTTCTTTAACACGGAACCGCCATCGCCTCTCTCTCTCTCTCTCTCTCTGATTGATGACATGCAATGATTCATGTACTATTCAGTTGATGGGGTATCCCACTTGAGCAGATTGGATGTGTCTCAATAAAGTAACGAGGGAACCAAGGTAGTTTATCGGGACTGCCATTCCCATTCCTGAGAAGTTTAGCAGAACAGTTTTTTTTTTTGGAGAAACCGCAGAACAGTCTTTTCCCATTCCCTCCATTCCCTTTCTCTTTGGGGTATAAATGAACAGAGTCTTTTCCCATTCCCTTTCTCAAAATCACCCCGCTTTTTCTACCAAAAAAAAAATCACCCCGCTTCCATCCGTGTCTTCACCTGCAATTCTGCAAGAAACCCTCGATGTCGAACCCATCTTCTTCGTGGGTCGCCCAATTCAATCCGGGCGACCGGGTCGAGATCAGCCCCCGCGATGTAGGGTTCCGCGGCTCCTGGTACGCCGGCACCGTCGTCCGCCGCGAGGCGAAGAAGACCATTCGTTACGTAGTCGAGTACGACCAGCTCTACGCGGACGAATCTGGGGAGAAGCTGCTGGAAGAAACCCTCGATTGGATCCAATTGCGTCCGCCGCCGCCGCTTCCCGAGAAGAAGAAGGTCCAGTTCAAGTTCGAAGACGAAGTGGAGGCCTTCTACAGCGACGGCTGGTGGGAAGGGGCTATTATTGCGGAGCACTCCGGCGGGAAATTCGCGGTTTTCCTCAGAGGCTTTGAGGAGCAGATTGTGTTTGAAGAGAAAGATTTGAGGTTGCCTGTTCAGTGGGTTAAAGGGAAGTGGGAGCCGCGATTCGAACAGGTTCAGCGGGAGAAAGAGGTGAGCTAATTCGATTTTATGACTTTTCCTGCTCCGTTGCTTGGTATAACAATTTTAGGGAATTTTGAATCTCGATCTAGTTAGGTTGAGGAAAGTAGAGAATGTTGGGTATTAGCGGAATTGTGGTGGAAAATAGGATCAAAACAAAGGAAACAATTGGTGTTTAATCACTCTTTTTATAAATCACTCAAACAAACAAGGCCTTAATTTTTGGCTCTTGTTGCTTACAAACACATAGATACAGAGACTTCTTTCTTTCTTTTATGTCTCTTCCCCATTGCACTATGACACACCCCATGCATACATATATAATACACAATTGAAGAAGAAAGAAACTAATAGAATGACCCCATATACTCAATGCAAGTGAGCCCTCTTCCATCATCATCTTGTCTTCCACGATACAACACAGCACATGCATGAGTTAATACCAAATCCAATCATGTTCTCATGCATTGATATAGCCTTATCAATTTTGTCTTCAACTTCCAATCCACTTGCTGCAACTTGCTTGAATTATTTTGATGATGTCTCTTACATGTGCTCTTGTTCTTCACGTCAACATTGGGGTAGATATTGATAATTGATCAATCAATAATATTAGGCCTACCATGTGAAGTGTTTTGGGGTAAATTTATTGCAAATTACCTTTTAACAGAGAATTGGGTGATCAGAGATGGCATTTGTTCTTTTTCACAATGTCTCAACCTCGTTGAATCGCTTCATAAACATGCAGATGTGGCTAAACTCAAATTGTTCCAAGGAAGTGATGAAGTTCACTCAAGGAATGCAAGTCCAGGTGCTAACTGACGAATACGGTTTGAAAGGTGCTTGGTTTGCTGCAACAATTATTGAACCTTCGGGTGAAGACAAGTACCTTATTGAGTACAAAACCCTGAGGAATGATGATGATACTGAGTTTCTCAGAGAAGACATTCGTGCTTGCAACATAAGGCCTTGTCCGCCGGAGATCATTGTTGTGGATGGATTCAAGGTGTTGGATGAAGTAGATGCTTACTACAACGAGGGCTGGTGGGTTGGCGTGATTGAAAAGGTCTTGATCAACTCCAATTACGTGGTTAACTTTATAGAGTATGATGAGAAGACAACGTTCAATCAGGCTGATTTGAGGCCACATCAGGACTGGTTAAACGGCAAATGGGTTGTTCCTTCAGATGTCTGAATTTTATGCTCTCAATTCTAAAAACACTACTAGCCTTTGTTCTTGCATGTGGTCTTTCTCTTTCGGTGGTGTCTGTTACCGTTGTGCATCTGATGGTGGGTGTCGGTGGTGGGGTTTGGTGGTGTTTTTTTTTTCTTGCTTCTTTTTTTTTGGGCCTGTTGTTTTTGGTGGCTCCAGGTTCTCTTAGACTAGCCTACAATCCTTCCTGAATTTCGGTCCAAACTCTTTATCACATTCCTATTTTGTAATGAAATCTGTCCGCCACAACTACTTATTTTATTCTTCTTTGCTCAACTCACAATTGCAATCATGTGGACCTTAAATTTGGAGGCTGATTTGGGCTATAATAAGGATTAAGCCCAACGAAGCAAATTAATGGATAATCTCCAACTTAATGCTAACAAATTAATGACTAATCTTCCAAAAAAATTTGATAGACCCCGTATTAAACCGACATCTTTTAATTAAACACTTTAACCAAAAATAGTTTACCGATCAAGAACACAAAGTTATCATGCCCTCTATTCCCTCACCACACGTTGGAGAGCCAAGCAAAGGTATAATTGTCGTTTCAAGTAATTAATCATTTGCTAGTGGTTTGTATTATTTGTTTCTTTTACATACCACCCAAGAGATCCAAGTGCACTCCCATGGCAAACCCACGTGGAAAGTAATGAGGTAACTATGTATTTCCACCCCATTTTTCCTCTCATGGTCGGGTATAGACCAAACTAGTAACAAGCTGAGTCACCCTAGTTGACCACCCATGGAGAGTTTCTCCAATGACATGCACGTAGCAAAGGAAGTGATGGTTGACTTACATTTAGTTTCTTTGCTTGACAAACATAAATAAGGCCCTCCAATCTTTCCCTGTAGACACGTTGACATGAGGTGGACGATTACAATCAAAATGAGTTTCTTCAGAAACTCAAACTAGATGAGCAAACACATGAGCTTGGGACCACAACAAAGCATACAAATCCTCCTTCAACATATCCGAACAAACTAGAGAATCCTGTCGCATCGTATGTGTCTGACGCATACGAGTCGTTTCCAAGAGTGAACTTCTTGTTGTTATCCTACTCCACCAAGAAAACGACCCCTTAGTAATGACTAATTAGGATGAAATGAGTTGGTTGCTACCTCGAGCCAAAATTTTGATCGAAATTTTGTCAAATTTCCGGTTTATTAATTTCTGTTTACTTTTCACTAGACTTCTATAGCCAAAAGTAACCGGAAAACGACCCCTTAGTAATGACTAATTAGCGTGAATCTTAGAGCCATTATTGGTACTTTCTTATGATTTAGGGTTCTGACATTTTAATTTTGTGGTTCTAATTATCGTAGAGGAAGAGGAAAGGGTCCCCGATTTGGATCTCTAGCCTGCCTGCTCTAACGGTGAAATCGCCAGCTCAAGACGTTCCGTTTCTTATCTGGTCCCGTCCCAAAATCAAAATCCATAGAAGTCCATAGGGTTAATAAAAGCACAACGATCACCAGCCCAGCAATCCATTCTTAAAATACCTCTGATTCCAATTTAAAAGAGTTACTTAAAAAATAATGTAAGGGCCGGCCCATTGACCATGTAGTTGTTATAAATTTGGGCTGTAAATAGAGGTCCATAAGTCCATCCTTAAAAAAGTAAAAATCTCTATATTGGATTGCAAGGGAAAGCCCCATTTAGTCACGTTTGGATCAATGCTTATCACGTCACATCTACTATGAGTAATTTGTTCAAAGTAACATAACTAAATTAAATTCATATGTTACATCAAGTACCATCTCAAAAGTATAATAAAGTTACAAAAGATATTAGCGTTCACATATCCATTACGCTAATAGATCATTAGAAATTACAGAAAGGTGGAGCATTACTAACATTAATCCTATCATATTAATAATACCCAATGCTACTTAGTTATCTAAAGCCGGGAACAACTTAACCAAAAAAAGATCAGAAAAATGCTCCACGTCGTTCCAAGGACCGAATGTAACCAAGACTTTATATGCCTTCTCACCAATCATATTCAGTAGTGTAACATACTCCGCATTTTCAATCTCAGAAGGACTGGCAACAGAAGACATAATTCTTCGTAAGTAAGCTGATGGGAACACGACCTCAACATCAGACAAGTCATCTTCAATGGTCAAGTGAATCAAATATATGTTCGATGCCTCAGACCAAGATCTCCTCAACTCTGTTACAATGCCAGACAAAATGTGCGACTTCCCCTGAAATAATCCAAAACATAAAGAGGCGAAAATAATACGAAATCAGATGCAAATTATTGAGATAAGAGATAGATATGGATAGATAAAACAACATGTTATCTTAGTCACCTAATTACCACCATTCATTTGCATTGGGATAAGGTCTATAGTATCCACGGTGTCCCAAATTGCTGCGGCAGTTTGATAGTTTAGATTCATAACGAAATTGTCTCCCATGGTAAAAGACCTATAATTTAGATTTTTAGCAATATTAGCAACTATATCGACAAAGGTTAGAGTTCTTACACTAATCAACTAATCATGTAAAACAGAATATAAACAAACTATAGGAAAGCAAGACATGACTCTGTCAATCCTTTAATGGATTTTTCAATTGGACCTATATTTTACTTCTTTGACTTATTCTTTGTTGATTCTTACATGGAATTTTTCAACTGGACTCTACTACGTTTTATACAAACAATATATAATGTTTTGTTTCTATACAACACACACTACGTAATCAGATCCAAGTTAAATAATTTTGAAATATATATCCTCAACTATGGATCAATGCTATGCTAAAATCGAAGCAATAACTATTAATCATGTCTCTAAATTGAATAGGCAAACTACATTGTATTAGAAAGCATGCATTCTAACTCACCGGTGGAGCTCGCAAGTATTTTCTGGGAGTCTCTTCCTCAAAAACTTTCTGAATGCTAAGATTTTAGTAGATCGGGAGAAAGCAAAGTTGAAGGATAGCCGGCGACTGTACTTTATGAGTGTGCTGGAAAAAATTGTCGACGCTGTTGATGAGAGGAATGAACAGATTTTTATAAGGTAGGGTTTTAGAAATTACCTCCTGGAGATGGCGAAATGGGTTCAATGTCTCTCAGGCAGAGAGGAGGACAGCAACATGCATCCATGCAATGGATTTGTTCTTCATTTGGTTTGCTCTTCGGAAAGTGAACAGAGTAGTGGAAGCCGGATGGGAAGAATGGAGTTGAAAGGTCTTCGGGGTTTTTTTACGCGGTAGCGTTGTAGAAAGTACCTCCTGGAAATGCCGAGATGGAACTGATGTCGGTCAGGTAGAGAGAAGGAATTGAAAATGCGTTCATGCAATGGATTTGTTGTGCATTTGCTTTCTTCGTCGGATAGTGAACAGAGCAGTGGAAGCCGAAAGGGAAGAAGGAAGTTGAAACGTCTTCTGGGTGAGGGGGGAGGGGATTTTTTTTGTTTTGTTTTTGTTTGATCCAAATGTGAATGAAGAGGGCTTTCCAGTTTGCAATAAATGGCCGGTTGGTGATCCTTTATAATGGGCTAAATGAATAAATGTTGACGGGCCGATAAGACAAGTCCGCTAATGGGCCTGGTGAGAAAAGCCTAAGTAAATATTTGTAACTGCCTTATTTGTAATTCTCCACTAACAATTGTCCATTAAAAAAAATAAACTGTAATCATAAGTAAAACCTGAATTGAAGTTCAAATAAATCGATCAAATATTTCTGGGAATACTATGTTCACCATTGAAGTGCCATCCCTCCATTCTCATTGGCACTCAAAATCTTCAATCCAAGCTAGATATTTTTCAATACAGAGTGTTTTTCGTGTGTGCACATGTGGTTGAAGACATTGTATCTGAATATTGGTTACTGACTATAGACCTGTTGTGCAGTGGTTTTCCAAGAAGAGGACAGATGGGCCACTCCGCTTATGCACACCGGTAAGTTTCGAGTATACCCTTTCTTGGTTTGCTAGGTCTTAATGAAAACAAGAATAATGAACTGAACACAAAAATAATCTGGACCAGCAAAAGTAGAGTCATACATTGTTGATTGGAAAAGAAGTTTATATTTAAGCACCTTCGTATTTTTATTTTCAAGTTCGCTCTTGTTATTAATTTTCAAGTTCGCTCTTTCTTATGAATCACGAATACTAATTTTTGATTGTTTGTGGCATGTAGTGTAGTATGAAGCAACAAACAACCCATAAGGAAGCAACAATTCAATAAAAAGGGCAGGACCCGTACAAAATAACATTGTGTTCACACACTTAGTACACTTGGATAACAAGAGAAATGGCATTAAGGCCGACACTAAGCAAATTTAGTAGATTTCTATTGACATTGCTGTAATGGTCTTCAGTTTCCACGAGGAAAGAATAGTTTGACCAATAACAGCTCAAAATACCCATGGTTCCAAGGACCCAATGTGACCATAAACTCATAAGAGTTTCCACCAAGCAAGTTGACAAGGGTAACGAAATCGGCATTGGCCATGTCTTCATCACTTACTACATCTGAAAGGATTTTGCGTAAGTTTGCTGATGGGAAAACAACCTCAACATCGAAATAGTCATCCTCAATAACTAAGTGGATCAAATGAACTCTAGATGCAGCACGCCATGATGTCCTGACCTCGGTGACACGTCTAGAGAAGAGGTAAGAAGTGCCCTGGTGTTTAAAACAACAAATGGATTTTCAAAAAAAAATTAACAAGCATCAACAAACAGAAAAAGTGCAAACGAGAGCGAGAATGATGAATGACAAAAAAAATTTATTTCAATAACCTCAACGTCACCATTCTCTTGCAACAATATAAGACCGAGTGATTCCGTAAATTCAGACATAGAAGCTGCTTCCTCATACCGCAGCTTTGCAACGAAACCAGGCTCAACCATAAAATCCCTACAAATAAAACCGTTACTAATGTCTGACCATACGAAAAGGAAGCGGAGTAGACAGTCTAAGGATTAGTTGGTAAACAATACTTACGGGTACCATTGAG